ACAGTATATATATATATATATATATTTGCAAGCTGAATTTGTATGATGAGCACTCTTTTAAGGTTGCAGCTCCTAGACTCTAGAACTCTTTTTCCATTAATAATATACAGGAATCGCCATCCATTTCACTATTTAAGGCTACACTATTTTATTTTTCTTCCTAGGCTTATGTATCAGAACTACGTATGTCAACGTGTGCAACCATTATTTTCATAGCCCCTTTTCTGCAAGCTAGGTCGTGTCGATTGAGCCTACGACTAGTCTCGTCTAACCTAGGCCTACAAACTATTGTACTACTAGGCTAAGCCCTATCCAATAATATACTAATAATAGCCTCCAAGCCTGTGACATAGGCTAGCCTTTCCCCAAAACCACCATTACTGACTGATCAGTACATCCAGGAGCCAGGCGGAATGGTTTTATATGTTGGCCTACCTTATTAAGCGGTGTGCTCAAAAGTTGAGAATCGAGGCGTAAGCTGTAATGTTTAATTGATTCAGATTTGGACACTTTTCTTTCATTATCCATTCAGTATCAAATTAAATAAAACGACTACCTCTGAAGAAGAACCTGAACAAATACTATTTTTTCTTTTTGGTTAAAATATCTCTGCTGCCCTCTGTAGATCAAAGTTGAGGCAAACAGTATCTTGCGGAATTGCTATGACAGTATTATAAAAATTAATGTTTATTTGAATGCTGCATAGATAAATTTGACTTTTGAAAATTACGTAGTTATTTTGCAGTACCAAGCAATATTAATTTTATATATTCCTATATCAGGGACGGAGATAAAAATCGGTCGGAAGGCCATAGTGAATTTTGAACGTACACTCAGGGCCGCACAATAAGATTTTTTATTGTGAAATTTTACGTTTACAGTACTTTCAAAACTTTGTTCCATTTCACAAACTGATTTAAATAACATTGTATTGATAAGTATTTTACTGAGTGACAAGTGGATTTTTAAGCCAAAAATAGGCTTTAAAGGGCCGTACATTGCCAACCCGTGATAGATATATCCATAAACAAACAAGCCATTTTTGTGTGTGCAAAACTGGGATATTCATTCGACAATCGAGTTTATCTAGACTAACGGTAAATAAACTTATCCTAGGACAAATACAGCAAAGGGCAACACAATGATTTTGCATTAACGTCGACTCGTTGAGCAAAAACATCATGAACACTGCAAGAGAAGGTAAAACTGATGGACTTAAACTTGCTCAGTTTCTAAGCATCCTGTTCGTATGCATTAAACATGAACAACATGAATACTCCAATGAATTGATTAATCAATCATTGTCATCCGATTTCTGGGAAAGATTTAACATTTAAAAGACTCAAAGCTCGGATAGATGGTGCATTATATTCAATTCAATAAGTCTTTATTTATCCCTCATGGGGCAATTTTAAAACAGGACTGAAATACTCAATAAGTTAAAATCATTTTTAAACATCGAACAACAATAATATATATAAAACTAAATAAATAGTAAGTGTATAAATATAAATCACCAAAAAACATACAAAAGAGACTAACCAGAATCATAACTATAAAAATATATGTAAAAAGCTATCGTTA